CTCATTACTATTTCTTTCTATTGGCTTTCCAGCTTATCTTTTCGATCATACTTTTCAGAATGTGTCAGATTTTGACTTTTTCCGATATCTCTTGCAATGAGCCCGTTGAATTCACGTAGAAAGCTGTTTTTTCACGAGTGAATATCGATTTTCCGTCCTTCACTCCTTATTAAGTCACGAATCTCTCATTAACCACTGGACCCCTCTTGAAACGAAAGAAAATTTTGGAGTCTTTTGTCGCTAGCTATGATGTTAAATATACTTTTTAGTTATGGATCGACTAACTTGGTATCAACCAGGAGAAAATTTGGAGGATCTTTTATGTCAAGCAGGGCATGTTGGCATTTACGACGGCGATCTCAAACATGTATGTTGTTGCTCTCTGATAGGTGGTAACGTAACATTTTACATTTTAGCCACGAAGCTCTATCCTATACCTTACTCGTTTACGTTCCAATTCTTTATTCTCAATAAAAGGATAAAGGATAAAGCATTTGCCGTTGATCAATCCCTTTTGGGATGCGGCACGCATTCTACTTCCATTTGTACATTCGTAGTGGCGTTTGAATGCGATGTGGCCTATACAATGACTTGCGGGGGCCAGCCGATGTACAAGTCAGTGTTTTTTAGGGTCTATTCCAGTTAGGGGGCATCATGATGCAGTTGACTCCCAAAAAGCTACGGTAACTCCGAGCCAGGGGGAGTGTAGCCAGTCTAGGGGGGTGGGGGTGAGGGCAGTCACTTGACATGCGTGAAAAGCTGGAATGTTCGAGTTCACATTAGTTCGCCGAGAAACTGCATCATGATGCCCCCCTAACTGGAATAGACCCGTTTTTTATCCTCCCAGACAAGTCTGGTACCAATTAACCGACCCCGGAAGGCTTGGTTGGCCCGGGCGACTCACGACCCAGGATTTGATCCCCGGACCGCTCGCGTGGTAAGCGTGCCACTTGCCACTACACCACTTCCGCCCTTATTCTCAATATGTTAACTCAAACTCGACGGTTTGCATGTGTGCATCAATTCATGACGCAAAGTTGCATCCTTTCATAGGGGTCCCTCAAAACATTACAAGGTAGACAAGCTTTATTAACACTGGAGCACTGCTTATAAGCGAATCTGAGGGAGATCATGAGGTCGTTACGATCGGGTGACCAACTATTGGGTTGGTGCATAATATCGTAGCGTTTTTTTTGGGCGTGTAAATTCAATCAGTACAAGAGAAACCCTAAAAATCGCCTATACCTTTTGAAAGTGCTTTTTTCGCTCTACAAAAATTACTTCGTCATTTCCCTCAAAATTATATTTGTACTCATACATAATGCTTAGAAGTTGGAAAATCCAGACGGCAGAAATCGGCATTTCGACAGCTGTTATTTTTCAGTTCACATAAAGAAAAAAATACCGTCAAAACAAAAGTTCTTCAGAATCCATTGTTCTTATCGAACCTCTCTCTAACCAACCCTACATATTTCACTCAAATTAAGACCGTATTCATGTCGTACAAATTGCGAAATAATGAGGACTTCGAGAGCGAGCCCAACATCTTTTTTTCAATTCCAAATCCAGTGACTTTCTGCAAAATAGGATAAAAGTCGTAAATAATGGCAAAGTGGACATCCCTGATTAGTTTTATTTTTAATTTCTTCACAAAACGTTTGCGTGCAAAAATGAAAAATGCAAGCAGTTTATCCAATAAATCCGTTTTCAAGTCACAAGATGGAGAATCAATCACAGATCGTCAACGTTGCGTCAAACTAAAGGGAAATGAGTTAGGAACGATGTCGGGACAGTAAACTTGTTTGGAGCCGAGCGCAAAAGGCACCCCTTGTCCAAATCTGTGCGGCGAAGCTTTCGTATGTACTTCGCAATTTCAAGCCAGCTTCATATGGCTCGAGTAACCTGCTCCCTTTCTCTGGGATAGAATCCAATTTCAAGGGTCAGTTGGAAGCTTTTAGAAAAAGAGGGTCTCCTGGCTCGAGCGATGCAACTGCTTATTAAGAAGTCATTTGAAGCACTTCCATTTTACCCATCTTATCTAATATTTCGCGATATTAGGAACTACTAACAATATGCTACAAAGACCTGTAAACAATGACCAGATAAAATTTCCAGACTGCATTCGAACAAGGAACAGCTTCACTGACGTTACATCGTATAATATGGGCTGATTCAAGCGATCCTGTAAGTTTGCAATCATTTCGTAAATTAACTTCAATATGAAAAACTTAGTGAAGTAGGGCTCCTCAAAGATGGTAGAGATATTTCGGGATAGCGAAGTTCCCCAGACGAACACCTCAGTAGTACACTTTTCATGGGTCTCATACACTAAGTGGAGGGGGCATGTGGTGCGACAGTTCTTTTCGCCAGTAGTCCATTTTCTGCATTTGAAGGATGCTCCGGGGTAAGAGTAAAAGCGAATGCAAAATGGTTCATGCATCTCGGGTATTTCCTTTCTTTGCAAAAATCAGAATCTCTGTAAGCGGCGATTGCCGCACAACATGCCTCTCTCACTGAATAAAACCTTTTTGACTCTAAAATATTGTTCAAAGATTCTATTCAAAAGTTCCGGTAATAGTGTTGTATAGTATCTGTTCATAGGATCGCCGGCTTATCCTCCATCATTCTCTTGTGAAGTCTACGGAGAAACATCACAAATCGATGTTCAGTCGTGGAGGGAAGATTATCGTTCGTCTTGAACCAGCGCCGGCGAACAGTGTTGGACCGCAACGAACGAGTCCATTTAATTATATACGTCTCGTGTTTCGAGCCGGTGGCGAAGAAGACGTGAGAATAATTGATTTTTTCTGCACCCATTTCTTCCTTCAAAACTGTTTTTTCAGTTCCACAAAAAATATGAAGAAGCTTTGAAGCGAAAAACCTGGCAACGTTCAAGCTCAGGGTCAAGCTCGGGCGGAGTGAGTGATTTTTGGAAGTTCTTGATACACAGGATCCAACTTCAACTATGCTACAGTTTTATAATCAAAAGAGAGGACGTGTCTTTTTCTTAATTTCTTTCATCCATTTTTTTGCGTACTATCAGCGTAGGGATTTTCCTTCCGTCCTGATCTTCCGCTGAAAGTTTTTGTCGAGATTGCTTTTGTTCATGGTAAATAGTAGAGTTGGAAAATCACTGCCGACGAGTCCATTGAGAAGATAAATCTGTAGCGCAGTGGTGAAACAGGTGACTAGTTCGAACTGTGTAGGTGAAACATTTTCACTTTCTGGAATCAGGAAAGTTAGGCACATCTTTCAGTTCCAGTAGTAAAAATATCAAAGCGTGAGTTAGTTAGAATCAGTGCTCTCTATAAGGACTTTCTATGCGCATTCTCTGAATTCGAAGAGTATTTTTATTCTTTCAGTCGAGGACTAGCCAAGGTATTCAGATGCGGCCTGTAGGTATCGCTGACCTCGCAAA